ATATATATATATATATAATACATTTATAGACAGCGGTCCTGCAGCAAAGAGAGGTGCTCCATCGTTTGACGTAACCTGTTTAAACTCCTGAACAGGTTTGTTGGTAATTGGTTTTGTCGCTGGGAACTCGGCCATGTTTCCTCGGACCGGATGTCCAAATAGAATCCGCAGTCTGAAACGCTTCCATCCACGATTGGCATCAGCCGCATGGTGTTTGCTATTCTACCGTATACAGTTTACCGGCTTCATATTTAACAGATATGATGGAATGCATGAGGGGAAAGACAAGTAGGAAGATTATCAGCTGAGAAATGAGTTAGAAGCTTTTTCTGAAATGAGACGGGGACGGAACACGTGGACGGGAAGAGCGTGGAACAGAAGGAGAACTGTCATTATGCTGATGGGAACGAATGCAGCGGCAGCATGAATGAACCACCAACCAGTCAGAGAGAAGTAGAAGATCATCAAATAAGACGTGGGGGGGGGGGGGGACAAGATGACAAGATGAGAGTCCAGCAGCAGGCAAGTGAACGGGAGAATGTGAGAGCAGGAAGACACCGAGGTCCACAGAGGAGCAGGAAGGAAGAAGGAAAGTGATGGTGAGAAATTAAGAGGCATCAGCACCGTAAAACTCAAGGACTCAAGGACTCACAGACTCACAGACTCACGGACTCACGTACTCACGGACTCAAGGACTCAAGGACAGACAGACTGACGGACTCAAGGACTCAAGGACTCACGTACTCAAGGACTCACGGACTCACGGACTCACAGACTCAAGGACTCAAGGACTCACAGACTCACAGACTCACGGACTCACGTACTCACGTACTCACGGACTCAAGGACTCAAGGACTGACGGACTGACGGACTGACGGACTCAAGGACTCAAGGACTCACGTACTCAAGGACTCACGGACTCACAGACTCAAGGACTCAAGGACTCAAGGACAGACAGACTCACGGACTCACAGACTCACACACTCAAGGACTCATGGACTCACAGACTCAAGGACTCATGGACTCACAGACTCAAGGACTCACAGACTCACGGACTCAAGGACTCACGGACTCAAGGACTCACAGACTCAAGGACTCACAGACTCAAGGACTCACGGACTCAAGGACTCACAGACTCACGGACTCAAGGACTCAAGGACTCAAGGACTCACAGACTCACAGACTCACGGACTCAAGGACTCACGGACTCACGGACTCAAGGACTCACGGACTCAAGGACTCACGGACTCGAGGACTCATGAACTAAAGGACTCAAGGACTCAAGGGTTCAAGGACTCAAGCACCGGAGTCAGGGGCCTTTTAGAGATCACGTTTTTTTGCCGCGGACAGTAATAGATGATCTTTGATGATCCATCCACATTACAGCAGCTCGATTATTATCTTTTGGGCATGTCCATAAACCATCAACTATGAAAATGTTACTTTGCTACTGTAATTCATTGTGTTATTTTATTCATAACGCCATGATTCAAGTTCTAAAGTAATTAAAGATTTCGTTATCGTAGATTAGTAGTTTTAATATGATATAATTTGCCCTCTAATGTGAAAACAAACATAGAAATGTATCAGCAACACTGAAGTAAAAGGAGCTGATTTATCTTTCACTTGATGAAGCCTGACAGAGACGCCCGAGACAAAACGAGAGAGACAATCTGAAGAAAGGTGAAGGAAGCAAGAGGAACGAGAGACGGGGAGTCTGGGAAGGTCATCTGTGAGACAAAGTGAGCTAAATGAAGAGAGACAAAGCAAAGTGGTGAAGGGGAAGGAGTCAGGCGCCGGAGGACGAGGGGAAATGAAAAGGGAAAGGGAGTATTAGCAGAGGCAGGTCTTTGGCATTAACCACATTCCACGGTGGTTTCTGACAGGACGCATCGGGGGAAGAGGTGAAAGATGAACGGCATCACACTGCACTGCACTGGGACACATTTCAGGTGTCCCAACAGAAACGATTCCTCCACCAAACACCATCAGGCCGCTGCGCTTCTTTTGATCGAGTGCACGACGGTGCGAACAACCGTCTGCGCGCACGATGGTTCCAGACGCCACGAGAGCAGCGCGAGAACAAGGAACTCCTCCGAGTGAGGGGGACGAATGAAGAAAATACACCAGGGAAGAGGGATCGCCGAGGGAGGAGAAGTTTCGGGAGGGAAGTTGTGGAGGCGAGAGGGAGCAGAGTTTGACCAGCGACAGACAGACGGCTGAATAAGCCCGTCAGGAAGCGAGCGGGACGGACTAGTGGACGAGAGGGGTTTCATTAGGACAGTGAGGCTTCCAGAGACACACTTGTGAAGAAGAGAAGAGTTCCCTTCGGAGGAGCGTTTCTATCGCCTCCACGGGGCTCTCGACGTGGACACGGCGTCCTCTGGGGGGGAACTTGACCGTTGCCCCGGAGCTTTTGCGGCTGAGGTGGAATGGACGACATGGTTTATTATCCTGTATTTCCTGTTTCTTGTTTCCGTGCTTGTGGCGAGCGAGCGGCGTTCTTCCTGCGCTGATAAGCTCCGCTTCCTGCCTGATAAGGTTCTTAGTTTTATTTCACCACTTCGTACTGTTTAATGTGGATGAGCTTGTTTGTTTAGCTTGTGACTTTGCGTTAGGAGTCGCGTTAGCTTTCACTGCTGTAATTGGGCAATTAGAGATGTCTTTTTTTCCCATCGGGTCTTTCCTGCTGCGCAAGTTTTCTCTGTTTTTTCATCCGTGTCTCATCGATCTGACTCCGACTTTTAAAGAGATGGTTTCGCGTTAGCTGTTTTCTTTCCTTCTAATTCTTACGCGCCTTCCTACTACGTCTCCCTGACTGACCATTTCTCCCCAACTTCCTTTTCCCCACCTCTCCATCGCCGCGGCGACGGACCGAACCTCTTAATAATACACGAGCTCCTCGGTCTCCCCCGACAGCGCCGGGCCCGATCCTGCAGGATTCAATCATGGCCGCGCTAATTAGATTAGCATGGCTAATGCACACGGCTCTCCCTCTCTCCACATCAGCAGGCGCTCGGCCAGGCAGGGGGGGGAGGGGGTGTTCAGGATGTGTGGGTCGATTGCAGCCCCCCCCCCCCCCCTCCACTAATGGACCTGCGAAGCACCACGAGGGGCCGGAAGAGGAGGGAACCTCCAGGTGGAGGTGTTGCAGCGAGCAGAGCCTCGCGATGAAAATAATGTGTGCACGTAGGTGTGTCATTGTGTGTGTGTTTCTGTGTGGGTGCGTGAGGGAGAGAGCTTGGACTCTTTCCCACCCCCCCCCCCCCAGTAGAACCTGGCACTGCAGACCGGCAGAATGGGGAGGAACAGTGGGGGGATCGGATGGAGCGGAGAGGCGATGAGCGGATTAGCGAGACCCCCTGGGCAGTGTAGTGTCGGTTGTGCCTCCGACAAATACACACAACACCAAACGAGTACACGAACAACACAAAGCAGTCGATCGGTGATTTTATTCAGCGTGACGCGCAGCAATCACAACGGAATCAGCTTCAAATGATCTTTTGGCGGCATTAAAAGCAGCTGATATTGAATGCAGGGGTCTAATCGATAAGCACACACACACACACACAGACACACACACACACAGACACAGATTCAAAGGCAGAGGAGGCAGCAGGACGACGCATCCACCGTGTGTCCCAAAGTCATGCTGGAGCTCGTTCCGATCCTTTGCTGCTCTGATTGATTCTTAGTGGGATGAGCGGATGTGTTCATCTGTCAGCGACGTGGAGATTTTCTTCACTTCCACCTGAAGATCCATCAGCCAGAGTCTCCTTCTGAGACGTTGTATCACTCAGAAGCTCCTGAAGCTACGCAATCATTCAGCGCCAGACAAACATGTTGAGATGTTTCACTCGGGACGAAGCTGACCACTGTCGAGGAAACGTGTCCGCAGGCTGTTGATGCTCAGACGGCTGCATGTGAACGCGCCTCGCTATCGCCATGGCGATGAGGATGACGTGAAGCGAACAGCGCACACGGTGGAACATTTACATTTAATTCTTTTCCAGAATATTACTGCAAATGTGCATTTGAAAGCTTTTTAAAGAACTTCCAGAAATCTAAGAATAATCTGACATATGTGTTTGTCGCTTAAACATTGCAAGTATTCTGCTTTCTGGGAAACGAGATGAAGCCGATCAAGAGAATCAAGAGATTAACAAGGAGTTTATGCGCCATGTTGACGTGGAAGATGGAATCTGAGTGTGAAGCGGCTCGTGTGGAGTGAGCTTAGCTGGTGTTTGATCAGGTTCAGGTCTTCTTATCGGAGAGCAACACACGTGTCACACGGCTCTTGAATTATATCTCACAATTACACACTGATCCATCGTGATAAGACTAATCTCAGACATGTCGAGTCTTTCTGTCAGCCCAAAGAAGAAGGTCCCAAACTCTCCAAATCAGGTCATCAGAACCTGTGCTTCTACGGCGGCGCCGCCTTAAAAACTGTTAAGTTAGGGAGATGTTTACTGAGCTTCTGTTAGCATCTCTTCTGTTTGTCTGCTTGATATTTAAAAATGTTATAGACATATTCATGAGCGTTTAAAAAGCCGCCCAGCTTCTCCCCTCAGAGGCGGGACAACGAGCTCCATACCCAATAATATGATAACATATAATACTACGATAATCAGCACATTGTGGGACGGAACCGAACAAGAAGCTCGACTGAAGAAAAACAACAGCTAGAGGTGGCTGCAGAAAACTGCTGCAGGGATTTCTGTCGTTTTACTCTAAATGTCAGTAAATGTCATCATCGTGCATCATGTGCAGCGCACAACTTCTACTCCACGTTGACACGGAGCCAAAAGCAGCCGGTCCGTTTCGCCCAAATGACAGATCCAGGAAAACCATCGAGTGTGAGACGCCACGTCAGTCATGCATATGGATCAGCACCGGCTGCTATGGCAACGGAGGCTTCGCCCCGGCCAGGCTGGACCAGGGAATGTACACGTGCCAATCCACACGAGGAGGTAAGAGGTTTACTGTGAATCACTCACCTGCGCTTTAGTGGATCACTCCGAGGAGGTGGGGGGGGGGCTGGTGTCCTGCCGTCTGGACGCCAGGCGTCTGGATGGTCCTCAATTTGAGCAAGAATAGTTCTGGTAGTTGCATCAACGATGTTAATCTTCTGTGGTACCTTGATGGGGTCCGATCCGATCGGCCTGATTTATTATTAAACCGGCTTCACCGGCGACGAGAACCAGAGAGCTCGGATGCAGAGCTGAAGAAGAGAAGGAGGAAGAAGTGGGAAGGAGGCTTTAATACAACTATAAATTACACAGAGTCACGCAGGGGGGGGGGGGGGGGGTGAAGATCAAATCAAGGCAAGGTGTGAATTAATCACACAGCTTTGATTAAGTGCAACGGCAAAACGTCCTTTTTCTGATTGTGCTTCGTCAAACGCTTCCTCATATTTATGAGCGACTTTCTGATTGTAATTACGGTCAGGTCTCCAAACCTTACGGAAACAGCAGAGGACATCCACCTGATTCCCTCAGCGTGTTTCTCACATTTTACACCGATCGACACCATTTCTTATTTTAGATGATGATCTTGTCGACATGTAACAGCGATGCAACGGCGAGCTGAAACATCTCTGCTGTGCTGCGACATGAAACAATGCTCTCTAATTGAATAGAAAACTGTTCTACGTCAAGACCACGGCAGCAGCTACTGGACGGCGTCCCATGACGAGGACGGGGACAAAGCCTCGCTCACTGGCGAGCAGCAGCTGCTCCGGACTGACTTGGAATCGTCTCTTCAAAATACCAAAAAAGTAACGGCCTTAATCAGCCCACCTTGTCACTCACTTGCCCCCGATCTTCGTCCCTCAGACGGGAGGACCATGTGTCTCACGTCCAATCACGCGGGGAGCTGACCGGATGAGATGACAGCCGCTCATCTGACACGGTGCGGATATGTACACTTTCGAAAAGGACACTTTGCTCACTGAAACATCAGAGCACTCGGTCGCGGTTCAGCGCCGGCGCTGCAGCATGTGAGAGATATTAAATGGATATTCAAGAGGACGGAGCCGGATGTCTCATGTACATCTTTTCTTAAGTAAAGGTCAGGCAGGGAGGGTCAGAGAGAGAAGGGGGAATGAAAAGACGAAGGGACGATAGGGAAGCTCGTCTGGGGGGACGTTGACAAGACTGAAGTTAAATGCCAGAGGGGGGGTCCCCGACTTCCACCGCGGTGTCGAGTATCTGTTTGCAGTTTGGGGAAACGTCGCAAAATGCAGATCTGTTGGTCACTTGACGCAGATTGTCCATTTTAAAGACACATTTAGTATCTAATGGCCCCTCGCTGAGCAGTGGACGACCCCCCCCAAAGAGCCACATATCTCACTTTTTCAGATACCATTTGAGACAAAAGTTACATGCATGCATACACGCACACGCATGAACTCTCCAAAGTGGTAAAAGGGAACAAAGGACACAGCAGCTGTAGCCAATAAAACGCTCGTGAGAACTACGAGAAGTCAGATCCATGTAACACACACACTGAGGAACATCGAATGCGACCCGTGCACCTTCCCACCTTGATATATGGGGGGGGGGGGGGGGGACACTACATGTCACTGCACCCGGCAGCCCACATGTTGGAAGGAAAATGTCTTTAATGAGACGATGTGCAAATGGTTGAATCCACAGTCTGTGACAGTTGCATGTTGCTTAGTAACCGTCAGCAGAGACAATCAAAGCGCATTTCTTTTTTAATGCCTCTAATTGCTGGTCCTTTGTCTTCAATGGTCACATCCAAACTTCTGGAGACTGATTATCAAGCAGCACAACGTGACTTGTGTGAGGCTGTGTGTTACCAAACGGTCCCTTAGGTCCAATTATCCCGACATTTTTCTAGCTTATGAACTTTGTGCAGTGAGCATTAATCTGTGGACTCGGCTCAGTTTGGGAATTCACAGGACTCGCCTACCAAATGTGTTCACTGTCATAACAGAAACCAGAGTGTGAATAATTAATACGGTGCCTTCATCTATTTGACTTTCCATGTTTTGTTGTTCTTATTGTGCTGCAGCCTGTGTGTGGTTTGTAGTTGGTACAAAAGTCCTGTACTCCAAACTGGTATTTATTCCATGTTGTCCACCACGTGGTGGTGAAGAAGCGTCAGTATGTCAGTGTGAGGATTGCAGGGTGGATTGGTGCTCCAGGAGACACACCGTGTCCAATGTGTGACCACAACTCAGCTGTGATGCAAACTGCACAACTTCTTCACCCAGAACCGTTGTTTTAATTATTTCATGCAAATGAATCCCTTATTGAAGAATGACACTAGCGTGTTTGAAGACCCATCGGATCTGTACGCAGTAAACGATGTAGAATAACAAGTAGAGGTAATAATCGTACTTTGAACCCTCATCTTCCATGTAGATGTGGTGAGAACGAAGGTCCGTATGGAAGCTGGAGGATCAGACTGTAGAAATATTAGTGGCCAGAGATTCTCCCTTGAGTTTACCTTGGAGTTAAACCCCCCCACCCCCCTGTCCACCCCCCTCCAAGTTCCCCCCGGAGGTTCTATGAAATATTAGTTTTTCTTTCTAAAATAAGTACATGTTACTATATATTATTATTGTTGTTATATTACACCCCCAGTTGTTGGTGTAGAGACTAAAGAGTGGTGAGAAGGGGGGAGGGGGGGGCAGCTGGTGGGCAGGAGATGGGCCGCGAGGTGGAAGAAGACAAACACATTTACCTCCACGGACACGAGCAACAGAGATGCAAGAACGGAACCATTAACAGATCAGGGAGGCGGAGGAGGTGGAGGAGGTGGAGGAGGTGGAGGTGGGTGAAGAAGGATCAAACAAAGAGTTCCCATTAGTCCGTTGTCCGTGGCAACCACAGCCTCTTTCTTTCCCTTCCTCTCACTTTTACTCACTTCAAGCCAAATGATCTTTGATATAAGATAATCAATAATGTTCGCCCTCCCCCCTCACACCCTCCTGCTACCACCGAAATACCTCTCCTGCTCTCATATATCCTCCCCTCTGTTTTAGCAGAAAGGGGAGCATGCTCATGGGTTACCACGCAGACGCAACACCGTCCTCCTCGGACACAAAGACGGTGACTCGAACAAACGCTAAATAAAAAAAACACTAAATAAATGTGAACTTAGTGGAAAGATTCATGCAAACGGCCGCTTGTCATCAGCAGTTCTGTGTGAATGAACGTTAGCTGCAACCTGCAACACCGTCCCCGTCCACACAGCAGAGACACAGCAGAGACACAGCAGCAGAGAGACACCAGCAGAGACACAGCAGAGAGACAGAGCAGCAGAGACACAGCAGAGACACAGCAAAGACACCAGCAGAGACACACACCAGCAGAGACAGAAGAGACAACAGATCAAGGAGCATTTTGATAAACATTCGTATTCAGAGGTGTCCTATGAAGCGAGTTAAAGACGTTCGTCTTCTGGGGTTCAGAAGTCGCAGGTTAGTTTGATTCGTACAACCTCAGCAGCTAAAAGAGAGTTTAGACTCCATTGGTATTGGTATAAAAAGCAGTGCGAGGCCATGGCTATTTCCTGAAAGTAGCACATGCGGCTGCAGACCCGTGAATCCAAACCAGAGAAACACCTGAACAATAGAAGTGTTTGTTTCTTCTCCGCCCGAGATAATCACCAGCTGATTGCAAGAAAAAACACTGATTTCAATTGCTGCACTTCATTAAAATGTCCCTTTTATATATATATATATTTATATAAATATGCAAACTGTGTTTATATATTCATACACAGCAATGCTCAAGCATGAAACCATCTTTAAAACCATGAATCTATGGCAGAACATTAAGTGAAAGCTGAATTACTCTGTGATGCTAATAAGGCATCTGATGAGTTCTGACCTGAACATTAATTCAATGTGACTCTATCAACTAAAAACTCAAAGTTACGTTTGTGTTTCCTTCATTAGAGGAGCCGTGTGTGTCGGTGATCAGGAACCTCGGATCATGCTGACGGGCCCCCGGTTCTTCCCCTGCAGCGCGCTGTGGATTATAAAAGGCTGATTGCATTTGGAATTGTTGGAATAATTATGGAGCTGAGGCGTGTGGATTAAACACACCCTTCATGTAACGGCCCCCCCGGTGCCGCTAGAAGATTCACAGCGCACAAACACACATTCATTAAAGCAGCGCACAACTTAGAACCTTTGGACAAATGTGATTGCATGACCCCCCCCCCAACCCCCCCCACGAAGAGAAACCATCTCGCCTTCAACCACCCAGGACTATTCACAGGACAGCTGGGCGGGATGTGGACGGCGGGACCAGAGGAAACCCTGGGTGGGTGGGGGGGGGGGGGGGCTGTGAGGAAGGCGAGTTGGCTGAGGGGGGGGGGGGGGGGGGGGGCACACGCTCAGCTTCTTCTGTGGGCCATGCACTTCAAAACAAGATGACTCAACGGGATACAAAGAGGCATTTAATGCAGCCGACGCACCGCTAACGTGGAGAAGGATGTGTAGTGGGCGTTGGGGGGGCGGGTGGGTGGGTGGGTGGGGGGGGGTATTCTGAGAGTGTTTGCTGATGTAAAAGCATTTCAGTGGCCAACAGGAGAAAAACAAAGGGCCGATGAGCAAGACGGTGATTCAAAATACAACGAAAAGACGTCCCGTGACTCGTGCCCCTCACGAGACGATCCCCTACGGTCTCCGTCTACTTCCTGAAAGGGACAAGGTCCCAAACTCCTGTTGCATGTTGACTTGTTTCTGGGAGGAAGAAGGACCAGCCGTGTCTGTCGCGGGGAATCGAATTGGAACGTTCCGTGGTCGATATATTGTGGACCGGTTCGTGGGCCGAGCCGGCGCTACGGAGCTTTGAACCAATCACAGCTCAGTCTCGCGTTCAACACGTTGGATAAGTAGAAACAGTTCTCGGCTGAGCGTATTTAGTCCGACTCGATCACCCGTGATAATAAACGTGAAGCGTCTTTCCAGCTTGTGTGAGAATAACCTTCAGAGGAACCTGCTCACAACACACACACACACACACACACACACACACACACACACACATATGGCCTAACAAAGGAAATGATGCTGGAGGAAATGATCGCTCCTTAATAAATGCATTTATGTAAAACCTGCATGAGGCTGCTTCACTATATTTTCCTCACAGTTGACGGTACCAAGGTTACCTCTGCACGCACGCACACACACACACACACACACGCACTCACACACACACACACACACACACTCACAG